ATTCCTTACAAGCAATGTATTTTCTATCATTTATGTAGAACACTAACAACTGTACGGAAATATCATTTCCTTACAGTAAGGAAGTTCTGACTTTTTCTTCAAGAAATTTTGACAGGAGTGTCAAAATTTCCTGGCGATTTGCGGAAAATAATATTTCGTTAACGAAACTTGGGGATAATAGATGTAGTAAATTGAAAGTTATACATTTTATAGTGTGTAAATGAAATGTCTTAGTTTTATCAATTAAAAACTAAAGATACTGCTACAACAGTTAATTATATTACATAAAGTGATTACTTGGCAGTATGGTAGTATGGCAGTAGCGTCATTATGGCATCTCACTTTTTATAGACAGCACTAAAACAGTCACCGTGCAAGTGAACCTTGCTCTTTCCGCACATATGAACAGTGTTAGTTTTGCTCAGGATGCACCGCCGTCTACGCCCCGCCTCTTCGCTAACGATAGTATGACCACTCTGATCATATTGAATATCAGAAAGTAACCTTCCTTTAGAACGACGACCCCATGAAGGTGTGGATGCCGTTGGCTCTGGGTCTGATTTGGAGTCACTTTCATCATTAGTTGTTTTTACTGTAAATATTTTTTCGTTCTGTTCAGTGACAAAATCAACGAAGAACGGAATTGCAATTGGAAGATTCGAGAGTCATTTGCAATGTTGTAAATTCTCCATGAATTTACAATTATGCAATCTACAAGGTTCATAAATAAGAGCAACCACCACTTTTTGATACCGAATTATCTAGAAGATCAACACCTCCTATATGTCGGTTATAATCGTTAATCATATTGGGCCAATGTATTGAACTTTTCTTTCGTAGCTTTCCATTATATCTTTTAACTGTAACAATTGGCTGAACCGTTGCATTGTTGCTGGTTACAATCAGAACGGAATTATCGTTCCACCTTGCAATTAATAGTTCTGCCTTTTTGTCGAAAGCATGATCAAACTCGCACCTGTTCTTCTTTCCAAGAACTTTACTACTTTGTAGAGGACATCCTGGTAACCTATTTTTTCTCAGAATGCTAGTAAAGAAAATTCCTTTTTCACCTAGAATGTGGGATAGTGCATAAATCGAAAAGAAGTTGTCGAAGAAAACTCTGAAGGGTTTTGCATTATACGTAGAAGATCCAAAACTACTTGCATCCCTAATGTGTAATAAGATTTCTGCCTTTCTGGATTTGCGCCACCATAAGAAATGAATTCGTATAGATATCCCTCTGAGCTACACAAGGACCAGACTTTGAGGCCAAAGCACACTGGTTTACCCTTTATAAACATTTTTGTAGAATGACGGCCAAAATAAGGAACCATTTGTTCATCTGTAGATATATTATGTGCAAATAGAACGAACTGCATATATCAATATTCGATATTCTTTATTTTTCTCTTGAATAAATCTTTTTAGTATTATTAACTGTTGTTTTGGTTAAAGTGGAAGCAGCGATTTTGCGATTTTTTTCTTTTCTAGCAGTAACTGCTGCCTTCTTCTCCTGTGTTGCCTTTTTTCTTCTTCTAAAGCTCTTTTTATTATAGTGTCTATAAGAATTGCGGGAAAACGTCTTTTTCTCCTTACTTTGGTATTTGTTTTTCTGTCGCCAGCTTTATAAGTGGTCTTAGGTTTGTCAATAAATTGTTACTGGAGGTTTATGAAAGGGTAGAGGCACCAACGGAAAATAATTAAGCCAATGTATCGTTAACATATGACATACTCGTAGTGGCTGATACTGCACGGTAGAATTTGGTAGGTGGCATGGTATTGTATGTTAGTATTAACAAATGAGAATCATGATTCATCATCATCAATGGTACTACAGCCCTATGAAAGAGCCTCCACCTTCCCAAGTCTATTACGCCAGGCAGTCCTATCCATTGCCAACCGTTGCCAGTTTGCTGCGTCTATCTTTCTACCATCCTCATCTACACCATCCCTTCATTTGAGTTTTGGCCTACCCCTTTTTCTACTTCTCACGGGTTGTGACATAAGGATTCTTTTAGGAGAATCATGATTATCGAGCAATAATAACACTGGTTTTTTTTAACATCTTTCTTTTTTTTCCGCTGTTTCTTTGATGGTATCACCTACGGATAATATTACTATCTGTAGTTTATCTGTAAACGTGAGTGTATTATCATTTTCTATTTTAGTTATTTCGTATATATAACAGATAGAGCTTAATACAATATCCTCCCTTGAGTAACTCCTGCGTTGATGTCTTCTAGATCTTTGTACACGTTCTTCTTAAATCTTAAATATCTGTCAAACATGTATTACTGCACAATTTTTAAATATTGCTTAAACAATGCATAAGGGATTTGAGCTTGTGAAATAAACCTTTATGTTATACTTCAAGACCTTCTTCTTCTTCTTAGGGTACCTGTCCGTTCCGAACGTTGGCGATCATTCTGGATATGATGACTTTGTTGGTTGCTATACGAAATAGCTGTGTTAAGGTATTTTCATACCATACTCTTAGGTTAGCAAACCAAGATTATCTTCTTCGTCCTTAGGCTCTTTTTCCTTCAATTCTACAGTGCAAAATGTATTGGAGTAGCTCGTGTCTGCCTTGATTTCTCATTATATGTCCCAAGTACTCCAGCTTACAGCTCTTAACCATGTAGACCAAATCCGCGGTTGTGTTCATTATCCACAATAATTCTTCATTGGTAACTTTGTCTGTCCATGGTATCTTTAGGATTCTTCTGTATAACCATAGCTCAAAAGCCTGAAGTTTTGATAGGGTTTTCGCCTTCAATGTCAATTCAACTCCATTCAGAAGCACTAAGTACAAGTAACACTTAAGGAACCTTGGTTTTCTTTTCAGAGTGAGGTCGTGGTTTTGAACACAGAGCTCATAGTCAAGAATGCATTTTTGACTTTTCCGATGCGACATTTAATCCCTTGGGTATTCTCAAGCCCTTAACTATGTATAAAAATATTGTGTTTGTCTTGTAACCTTAGGTTTAGCGTAATTTTCTATTTGTGTTTGTCTTGTAACCTTAGGTTTAGCGTAATTTTAGATTTACATTTATATTTATAATTTTGTTTTCTAAACTGTGACTGATCCTATACAAATTGTATTTGTCAAAAAGGAAATAAAGTATTATTATTATTATTATTAAAAATATTGTAGAACATACTTTATTTTCTACTAACGATTTCTCAATTATTTTAGTAATTATATACGGAATTAACCGTAGAATGTTTATTTTTGAAGATTGGTGGTTTGAAATCAGTTTGCTCTCTTCTCTTATTAATTACAATCTTCTCAACAGGAGTTTGTTCTTCTTCTTAGGGTTCCATCTTCTAACGAAGGTTGGATATCAACATGGCAATTCTTATTTTACTTACAGCAGCTCTAAATAGTTGGCTAGAGCTCAGACTAAACCATTCCCTTAGATTTCGTAGCCAGGAGGTTCGTCTTCTTCCTACATCTCTTTTACCTTTTATTTTGCCCTCTATAATCAAACGTAGTAGCCCATAACGAGGACCTCTTAATATATGACCGAAATATTCAAGTTTCCGCCTCTTAATTGTCTGTACAATTTCTTCCCTCTTATTAACCCTATCAAGGACTTTAATATTGGTAATTTTGTCTACCCATGCTATTCGTAGTATCCTTTGATAACACCAACGCTCAAAGTTTGCAGGAGTTTGTTAAACACATTAAACGCCAACGTCACTGGTGAAAGTGATATTGGCTATGAGGAGACTACGTTTGATGATTTTCCTGGTTTTGGTATTGTTACAACGTTAAAGGAACATTATCTCAATCAAAATGTAGCAATAATTATGTTGGTTAATGTTACTATGGTTTTACGTGGCAGATTTTTTAGTAATTCTCCTCTTCTTTTTAACGTGCCCTATTAAGTCCCCTTGACGTTGGCGATTAACATGGCGAAAATGTCTCTGTCTCGAGCTATTCTAAATAGTTGCTCAGCTTTCTTTATTCCTGTAATTCTCCAGTAATAAGATTATATTCTGCTGATTTCTTCAGATTTATGTTTACTGTCATTACATCAGTTTCTTTATTCAACGATGTCCATCTGATTGTTTTTCCTGTGTGGTAGGCTCTAAAGATATTCGATCATCAATTTAGTTCTCATACGGTTTCAATAAATATTCTAAATATAAGTATAACAGATGTCCCTGCCTTTTGCTTATTCCTCCTAGCCCTACTTTCGTCTTCCAGTTTAAGGAATTGATTATTAGATCGTTTTAGCCTTTTTGTTGCTGTCCATAGACGTAATCAGTGTTGTGCTATCATCTATCAACTCTTTCAGGTGAGTACAAATTGACTCATTTTGTAAGCCTTATATCTCTGTTTAAAATTTGTGACTGGCATTATTCTAATTTTTGTTATATTGAGGGGCTATGGTTTGTTTCTACCCGTTCTTATCGTTTGCTCTTCTCTTTATTTAACTTTTTTGTTTTCTTCAGATAGTTGTTTTGATCTAAGAGCTGGAATGCTTTTCCATAATGATTTGTGTATATTTTGAACAATCAACTCTTGAAAATGAGATTTAAAGTTGTTGATTTTATATAATTTTAGCTTTTGGCTACTTTTAATATTATGACTTATAATACCTAAATAGATTTTTAGGAAATAACGTGATTATTATTTGTAGATTTACTACGAAAGGTTTTGTTTTTTTTTTTGATAAAATATCATTCCTAATCTTATTAACTGGTAATTTCCGCGTAACTTTTAATTTTTTAAGTCAAACAAAAATAAACTTTAAGAAAATAAAAAGAATGTTGTTAAAAATAAACTATACGATTCCCGAAACTCCTTTTTTATTCATAATATCGTATTTATTGATATTGGCAATTCTAAGTTGATAGTATTCTCGCAAAATATACAAAGAGGTTGTTTATAACAATCACTCATGACCTCTTTTATCAAAACTATCTTGTATATAATTCGAACAGATGTGCATAAATAACAAAGACGCAAACTAATTCAAAAACACAATTTGCAAATATTGTATGTACATTTTCAGTGAGAGTTAGTATGGGGACAGGATTGTTTTGTGTGGTGTTTTTATTTGTATTAGGTTGTGGTAAGTGAATTTTATGATTTTACGATATTTTTAAGTTAGATAACATTTTTTATTATTCTCTTGTGAGGTGAGATTCTAGACGTACGAATAATGTATCTGTGAAGTTACCCTGTATATTGTTATGTTTTAAACACTCCATAATAATCTTTTTTCTTGTCTGAGAAAAAAACTTTAAAAATATCCGTAGCAGGTCAATTCAAACCTAGGGATAGCTGGCGTGTGTTTGTTGGATTCAGGTTTTAGGAGTATATCCGAGATCATTTCCCCCTAGAAGGAGGTTTTGCAAATGGAAGCCTTTCTGTTATTCTGGCTACCGATTAAACCACCCTTTCCTACTTGAGAAAACCAACACATATACTGATATATGAACATAGAAATCATTTTACACTATTATATTTAAGAAAATATTATTACCTTACCTTAAATTATATATTTTAGGAAATGGCTCCAAAGAATACGAAAATGCTTATGTTGAAGTAACTGAGCCTCCAATTACTCAAAACTTCTATTTTGGTAAAACCGGGGTAAGCATAAGTTTTGTATAAAGTAACTATATATTTCTAAAACTATTTTTTGTATGGTTTAGTAGGTCACTTGATTTTTAAACTTCTATCCTTGACTTGTTTCAAGTAATTTAATCAAGTATCTTCCATAATAATTAACATATTCCTCAAAATGATTCTTCCGTATTCCAGGACATTTTTTTGCTACTTATGCCTTGGATAGACGTATATTTATATATTTTAATGTCCATCATTTGACTTTTTGAGATCCTTTTCAATATGTTGGTTACATAATTCGATTTTATGCACAAACAGCTTATGTTGTTTTGTATTAAGCCTTGCAGTAAAGCCAAAGACCTTTATTGTAAGGACTGCGATGTACCCCGATAAAATATTGCTCGTATTCCGCCACTAGAAGGCAGGTATTTTAATTGGATTACGAAATGCAAAATAAAATAATTGTCTCAAAAAGGATTTCTCATAGAGTTAAGCTTCTTTCTTTCTTTGAATTTTGTATATAGATGCTTAATTCCTTGTTGCTAGAACCTCAATTTTTAATTGTTATTTTATTTTGATTTATTATTTTATTAACTTATAAAATTAATAAAGATATGTGTTGAAAAATTATTTTATTAATGATTCCCGATTTCTCAAATTAAATTAGTGTACACCGAACAACACCCCTGAAGGGTTTCAAGGTGTAATGGCTGAGCTAGCCGTTACATAGTTTTATAATATACAAACAATTTTGGAATTAGAAATCGAAATGTCAAAAAAAAAAGTTAAAACTAAAATTATTTCCTATAAAAAATAGTAAATTATATGTACTATTACATTATAAGTCTCAAGAGTTCTAATACTTTAGGTATCTTATTATGAAGCCGTCCATACATGTCTAGAAAAATCCATGCAACTGGTTTCTATTGATGGTAGTAAGAAAAATAGGGACTTAGCTAAGATAATGAAGGATTCAGGTAATGAACATTCTATATTATTTTCGTTTAGTCTGATTTATTAATAATTGCTATAAGTAATTCATAGATCAACAACAGCAATAGAACATGTGTTGTTTATTTTTTTTGCACTAGGAAGAATCTTTACCCCTTAATAGACTAAGTGCGAATTTAATGTTGATGATAGCCGAAACTGAATAATTGTTTATAAGTCTCATATATTAAAAGTTATTATTTCCCATTTAAAATGAGCCCAACAATCACGTTTTTTTCCACAAAACTTAATTAAACCACTCAAAAACCTTTACTCCATGTTCAATCTTTTTTTATACAAAACTTGACAGCTCCTTCTTTATATTGTTCTGAAGCTATTTTCTTGTAGCATTGTAAATTAATTACTATTTACACAATTAAAGATAAAAATACGTTTATTGACGTTTCAATTTCCAATTCGGAAATCGTTCTCAAAATACAAACAGTAAATTAAACAAATTTTGTTTTTTGTTACATAGTGAAAAAAATTCTTCTAATAATTTAATTTTATCTGACTCATTTATATTGACAATTCAGACATACATTATGCATTTTAAAGTAGACGACTTTAAAATGATATTGCCAATATTGTTGAGTTGCGCTCCTGGGACGACTTTACTTATAAGATAGTTCATTCGATTACATGAAATCAACTTTAACTTAAGAATATCCGTCAGAAAAAAATCATAGCATGTAATTCGTCTTTAAAAAGACAAACACATGACATGATGACAGTAAAATTCTCCCGTTAGTGATTCCATAGTAAATTATGAGGGAAAAACCAGGAAAAAAAATAAAAGAAGCGGCTCTAATTATGCTAAATGAGGCCAATTGTGTCGCAAATTCCTTGGCAGAATGTAGTAGGATCTGGTTACCAATATTGAAAGAGGAAGTTATTAATAAGAAAATACCAGTATTAGTAAGTCAGTAACATATGGAGGATACATCATTTATGTTTTTTGAATAACGTATGTTTTTTAATAACATATAAAATCAGAATTTTGATGTTTGTTGAAGGTAAACTAAATTCACGAACAAATACTTACAATGTCGGGATAGTATTATGAGGTTTTTTTTCCTGGTTTTTTCCCTCATAATTTACTATGGAATCACTAACGGGAGAATTTTACTGTCATCATGTCATGTGTTTGTCTTTTTAAAGACGAATTACATGCTATGATTTTTTTCTGACGGATATTCTCAAGTTAAAGTTGATTTCATGTAATCGAATGAACTATCTTATAAGTAAAGTCGTCCCAGGAGCGCAACTCAACAATATTGGCAATATCATTTTAAAGTCGTCTACTTTTAAATGCATAATGTATGTCTGAATTGTCAATATAAATCAGTCAGATAAAATTAAATTATTAGAAGAATTTTTTTCACTATGTAACAAAAAACAAAATTTGTTTAATTTACTGTTTGTATTTTGAGAACGATTTCCGAATTGGAAATTGAAACGTCAATAAACGTATTTTTACCTTTAATTGTGGCTTACTCTCAGTTATAAATAGTAATTAAGCTCCTTCTTTAGCTAACCCTTAAAATTAGTTTTTGTTTTACAAAACTGCATAAATCCTCCGGCCTGCAGAACTACCCCTTTACTATTTTTGTTTGGTTTTAAAAGCATCCTCTAGAATTAGATGTCGATTCGTGAAACAAAATATAATATTCGTTAGTTCTAAAACTAATCACGAGTCGCACTGACAGTGTATTTGGCCTACAGTATTTAACGATGATATAAAAATGAATCTACAAGCAGTCTACATGACAGAGGGTAAAAAGAAACAAGAGTTTGTTTTGGTGAAATATATCTCTGCTTTTGAGCTCCAAAGAAGAAGGGGAAGTGGTGACTTCCCAAAGAAAATAGAGGTGGTTATCGACGAGAAGCTTTTTTCAGGGCCAAAAAGAAAGCAGTCCGTAAATTTTTTGGTAAACTAAATCTTATTATGGAAGACGAAAAAGTAAGAGCGTTTACCTTTCAGCAGAGTTAAGTGTAAATAAGTTATATAAAATGTTTAAGGATGCTCACACTGCCGATTTACACGTGAGCTATTCATATTTTCACCGTATTTTTGTAACCGATTTTAACATTGGAGTTTTCTCTCCACACACTAATGAAGGAAGTTCCAAGTGATACTTAAAGTTTTGTTTTTGATTTGCAACAAGTGCACTCACTCCCTAAAATTCCAATCGGCGATGCCTTTTATCGCCGACAAATTGCATTCTATGCATTTTGCTGTGTGTCTATTGACTCAAAGGCACCAACATTTCATACGTGGAATGAAACGCAGGAAAACAGAGAAGCAAATGAAATCGGACATGCACTCATCCATCACTTAAGACGCCAAGATATTTTGTCTTTTTCTGCAGTATCGTTGTTTTGTGATGGTTGCGCTGGCCAAAATAAAAATGCTCATATTGTTTATGTTTGATACCATTGGTCTGAAAATAAGGCTCCAGAGAATGTACAGAAAATTCAAGTAACACAGTTTTCTTCCAACTGATCGAGCTTTTGTCTGTGTGGAGAAGCTCTTGAAAAAAAAAACTGATACCATTATCTCGAGCGAAGAGTATGTTTCTATTTACGAGGAGTTTAACTTTGTACAGAAACTGCGACAAGACTGGGTGATATACGATATCAAAAGCCTTGAAATCATTTATCAAAAAGCAAAAGGAATCAGCCAAACCAAACGCCCCATTATCAAGAAAATCGAAACAAGGGACTGGCATACTTCAACCAAAATAAAATGCTTTGTCAACTATAGGTTCGATAATGGAACAAAAACTTTTAGAAGTATTGTAAAAAAATAAACATGATTTTCTTCGTGCTCTTCCCCAAATCCCACTATCTGTGACTGAAGACAAAAAAAAGATGCCATTTATTTATTGCATACCCACTTTGGACAAAATTGAGCGATCCCTAATCTTCATTGGTACATTAATGCTCTTTAACACAAAGTTATTAGTGATCCAGATCCAGAAACCCACAACTACCATGATGGCGAGTGTGATTGCTTGGAGGATTAGCCAAAAAATGTTCACATCTAAATTTTTTTACTACTGATTTTTTTTGTTTTAGTGGGTACCGTTTAATATTTTTTATTTCTAAGATATTGTAAATTTGACAAAAGTTAATATCTCCCATCTTTTGTACAAAACGCGATATCTCCAACATACATCTAAACCTCAATTGATTACGTTCTCTGAAATTTTGAAAATTTTAGTATAACACTGCAGCACGTTTTTACCCTGCTGAAGATTTTTATAAAGTAGATTTATGCAGTTTTGTAAAAAAGCTCTATTACAGAAAGTTTCTAAGGGAGTATCTAAAAATAAGTTAGTGTTTTTGTAGGTTATAGATAAGTCATCATCTTCTTTTTAGCCTTCTATCGTCCATATACAAGTGACGTCACTTTGTGTGAATCGTGACATATTGATATAGAAGATTGAACTGATGTATAAAAATGTATTTCTATATTTAAGGTGGCGTTGACCGATATTGGACATCCGGTAACAAAATATCCAAAGGGACGTGGTTTTGGGGAAAAGGCGAGCCTATTGATTACTACAACTGGACCCCTGATATACCAGTACATATGGCAAACTATAATCAAAAATGTATTAAAATAGCCAAAAGTGAAGATAAACTCTATTGGGAGCAGGCCTTTTGTAACGAGAAAAACTTGTACATCTGTGAAAAAACGCAGACAGTCTCCAAAAGGGACTGTGATGCTACAGAAAATTTGGTCCAAGGAAATAGTCATTTACATTTTAAATATCACATCGGTGAAGAGATTGTAAGTAAAACATTTCTAAATAAATCAATAAATATATTTTATAATTTTAAAAACTTCTTATGGCCTTTTATTATATATAATAACGGATTGAATACAGCTATCGCCACTTCTCTGCCCCCAATTTCCATATTTTTCTGTCATATGCAGTTGCCTCTTCTGAGTCTCTTGCCGCCATTGTTTCATCAAAATCATTGCGCCAACTTCTCTGTGGTCGTCCTCTCTTTCTTCTTTCATGAGGGATCCATTGCAGTACTCTTCTAGGCCATCTGTACTCTGGCATTCTTTTAACATGTCCGAACCAGATGAATTGTTTTCTTTCTATGTCATCATTGGTATTTCACTCCATTTTCATTTCTTTCTTATTTTTTTATATTTAATTCTCTCCAGGTTTGATCTAGCGCAGCTTTATTGCCAGAGAAGAGAGTTTAAGGCACGGGTCGCTGCTCTGCCATTGTTTATTCTTCCTTGATTTCATCTGCGCTATTACCCTTCTTGTTAATGACCCCAAATATTTGCAGGATTGCACGCCTTTGATTTTGTCATCTTCCAAGACTAAGGCACATATTTCATCTGTTTTGACTGAGAGATATTCACATTTTGTCATATTAATGTTTACACCTGCCACCTAATATTCCTCTTGCAGTTTTCTTACCATATAGCTAAAATCGTAGCTGTCTTCGGCAATTACTACCTGGTCATCTGCAAAGAAAAGTGTATATAGCGTGTTTTTTCCACCGTTATTCCCATGTTTCTACATTTTTTTACCCATTTCACTAAGGATCTGTCCAAATAGATTTTAAATAAGATGGGTGACAGACAGCAGCCTTGTCTTAGTCCCTTTGTTGTTTGAAAAGGAGAGGTGATTTCTTGTCCCATTTTAATTCTTGCAGTTTTGTTCACAGTATGTTTGAGTGGCATTAATAAGAATTGGGTTTATTTTCAAGTTACCCATTTATATCCATAGTTGGGAGATTGGTACACTGTCATAATATGCTTTTTCCAAATCTATTAAAGCTATATGGGTTTCTCTATTTCTCTGCACTCGTTTTACCATTGCAATTTTTAATGTGAAAATATTATCTATAGTGGAGCGTCCGGCCCAAAAAACTCGCTTGTTCTTCGGGTTGTTTGTCTTTAATATCATTTTGTATCAGGTTTCGTAGTACTTTTGAGTATAGTCGGCCTATAGTAGCAATCACTGCGATCCCTCTGTAGTGTTTAGGATCCGTCTTTGGGCCTTTCTTGTGTATTGGAGAGATATACGATTGTCTTCATTCGTCTGGAACTTCTTCTTTGTTTAAGTATCTTTTTCTATAAATTTTTGGATCATTTCAAACAGCTTTAATGATCCATACCTAATCAACTCTGAATCTATTCCGTGTGTACCTGAAAATTTTCTTAATTTCATTCCGTTAACTACTTCTTTCACTTGTTCTATTAATATTTCTATTCTTCCTTCTACTTCCACTTGTTCATTTGTCTGTTTAAACTTTTCTCATCTATTTGTTAATAAGTTCTCAAAATGCTTTACCCAAGTATTATCTGGTATTCTATTTATTATGACTTGGTTTTTTGTCGTTGGTCTTATCGTTTTTGTAGCTCCAGGATTCTCTTTGCGTGAGAGCTCTTTGTCCCTCCTAAATGGTTGTCTAGATATTGGCATTTTTGTTCCCATGCACTATTTTTCTTTTGAACCACTTCTCGTTTGACTTCTTTCTATTCTTCTCTATTCAAGTTTGTATATTGTTGTTTTGTTTGTTCGTCTCCCTGTTGTATGGCCTTTTCCTTATGACATTTTAAAATTAAAAATAAGAACAAACAAAAATTTTGAACATCTATTCCTGCTGTGTGAAATAATATATCAACATAGTGAGCTGTGCTTCGAAATACATTTTCAGCTCTTTCTGTAATATGTTTGGCACCCTTTTAGGACTTCTGACCGAATTATTTTTTATATTTTAATCAAAAGTTAAGCTATAGAATAACTAGTTTAGGCTTGTAGCATTGAATTTCTTTTCTTTTATTTTATATACCTACCTTACAGTGGTCTATTCAGTATTTATTTAAAAAATGTCCAGAACGACCCCAACCCTTGTCCTAATCCCAAAATGCTTATTATGAATAATCTTTCCAAAAAAAGTTGTTGAAAAAAACGTTTGTTTTAATTATAACAATTCGGTCTGTCAGATTAAGATCACAAAGACTGGAGTTAATACTTACTTCGTTTCTGGCTGCATCTCTTCTTAGAGTGCCGTCTCCCTACGGAGGTTGGCAATCAAATCAATCGATCTGTAGATTCATCCAGATAATAGCAATCCAGTAGATTCTTCAACCATGAGTTCTCCCTTTGGCCAACAGATCTTCTTCCTTGAGTCTTTCCCTGCATTACAAGTCTCAAATTTTTATGTTTTGGTCCCCTCATCACGTGGCCTAAGTATTCCATATTTCTGGTTTGTATAGTGGTGATTAGTTCCGCTTCTTTAACAACACTCTCCAGTACTTCCAGTACTTCGCATGTACTTCGTTTTGTAGCGTTTGTAGTAATTCACATCTTAGCACTATTCATACTTAAGCTTTCGATAAGATGTTGTAAATATTCTATACTTCTTGCTATGATCACAGTGTCGTCTGGATATCGTAAGTTGTTAATTAATTTTCTGTTAACGGTAATTCCTGATTTAATATTATTGAGCGTGTTTCTCGCTAATATCGTCTTTTAGCCTTTCGTATATTCCCTTATGTATTACTTTTAGCAGTACTTTTAAAGTATGACTCATAAGGCTAAGTGTTCGATAATTAGGGCACTATTTTGCTGCTTATTTATTTGGGGATGATAAATGCTGACTTCAGTAACTCTTGTAGTACTATTCACGTATCGTACACCGTGTTGAATAAATCTGATAATATTTTACTCTTCCCCTAGTTTGAACAGTTCTACTGGTATTTCATCTAATCCAGCTGCCCTATTGTCTTGGATTTGCCTCATCTTGGAAAAGTTGTCTAACGTACTACTCCCATCGTCTTAATTTTAGTGGTAAATCTATTAGTAGTACTCCTGTTTTGACTTTTATATGTCCTTGCTGTCTATTTCGACCTATTCCAGTCACTTCCTTTATTTTTTTGTGCATATTTCTCATATCATATTTGTTTCTATTTATTCTACATTGTTTCATCAAACAGATTTCCTTAGCTGTTTTGATTGTTTTCTTAATTATTTGAATTAATTATTTTCTTAATTATAATAGTATTTCTTTTGTCATCCACTATTCTTTAGCCTCTAACCTATGTTGTATCAAACTTTGTTGAGCTGGATTCGGTAATGTGTTTTTTTCTAGCTGCATGAACTAACTCTAAAGCAAAAAAAAATTCCTCGATGCATAGGAATCGCACTGACACTGTAAACTCATATTTTTAATTACATTTTCAGATCACATACCCTAAAGCGTTTGATGTATGCCGATCAATGTGCATGGAGTTAGTTAGTATTGAAAGCGAACAGAAAAACCAGGATATATTTCAAGCATTTGTGAACGCAAGTATGTCCTTTACTTCACACCAAAAAATATTTTATTTTTAAAGTACTCTTATCATTTTTAGATGTAACTAGGACAAACGATCCACTTTTTTGGTCTTCTGGCTACCACAAAAACAAATTGAGTGCTTGGAAGTGGTTAAATGGCGAAACGGCTAGCTTCTTTAGCTGGGCTCCAGGAGAACCCAACAACGGCAGGGGAGACGAATATTGTATTGAGTTTAAAAGAACTAATACGACTATGGTTTGGAATGATCAACCTTGCGAAGAAAAGAGAATGTTTGTATGTGAACGGGTTTTCAAGAGGATTCCCCATTATATACGGATATAATGATTTGACGATTTAGTACTTAAAATACTATTTGGTTGAGAATTATGTATAAACTATCTGTTCCTATTGGTAATATATTATATGTTGAGCAATAATCTCTATAACAAAAATATAAAATACAAAAATTACCGTAGATAAAATAAGAGAAAAATCTTGCTGTATTTTGTTATTTTATTGTAGGGCTGTAGTATTTATTTTTGTTTGTTGTTCCTGTTTCAGTTAGCTTTTACCTTATTTTGTGGCAAAAAAGCTGACAAAAATAGGTTATAAAAAACCTTCGCGTTCACAAATACTTAACAAAGACCACATTTCGACGATTAGCTTCAAGTCAGGAGCTTCATTGGTGGTGGGTAAGGATACAGATGATAAAAAAGTACAGATTAACGACATTATTTTGATGAAAGGTACTGAGTGTTGTTTTGTCATGATATCGCCAAACTAAATCTTGCTCTCACTAGACACACTCGCTCTTATACTGTGTAGCATAGAAAAAAACACCAGCCCCTGCCAAGACGGCGTATTTAGGAGATGCCTCAAACAACTTTTAGAAGCGATATTCCCGCTGTCAGCCAAAAATATCAACGCTGCCTACAGCTGTAATACTTTTCTACTCCCTGGAAGGTATCCAGCACAATCATGATTCCAAAACCAGTAAATTTACCAAGCAGTAATGAATCCTACAGACCAATGTCACTGCTTAACTTTAAAGAAGCTAAAGGAAATCTGAAGCTGAAACAAATTTTGGAAAAAAACATTGGATTATGGCATTGATACTCAGGACGTATTTATAGACTACAAAGCAGCCTACGAATCTGTGAATAGAAAAAGCAATAAAAGAGCTAGGAATACCAATTTACTTGGTAAATTTAACAAAACTAAATCTTGAAAAAGTTGAGTCTAGAGTACGAATTCAGGGAAACCGTTTGAACCTTTTAAAACAAAAAACGAGCTGCACCAGAGAGACCCTGGACATCTGGCTCTGTGGAAAGTAATACATTTGTCACAAATCACAACCACTGACTCATTATATAATAAATCAAAGCAAATCCTGGCCTCTGCTGATTGCTATATTTACAAACCATCAGAAAACTGGAGAAAAGACCACAGATTATAATGTACCTCTACTTTCGATAGTATTGACATTCGGTCCTTTTTGTCAGCCCTGAGAGATGCTCGAATAGACCCACGGTACACTACACTTAATAAAGGCATTTATAAACAGGCCACATTCCATATCAAAATCAATGAAGACGAAAAAACCGAAAAATGAGTGTTGGTAAAGGGTATTCGACAAAGTTCTACTATTTCACCAAAGCTTTTTACCTTAGCATTGGAAAATGAATTCAAACAGCTCGACTGGGAGCAAAAAGGTCTAAACATTGATGGTGTACGTTTGAATCATTTGAGGTTTGCGGACGAGATAGTATTATTTAGTACATATATCAAGGAACTGGAGCAAATGCTCAAAGAATTAAATCAGCAGTCAAATAAAATAAGTCTTAAAATGAACCTTCAGAAAACAAAAATAATGAGTAATTTACAAACTAGTATTGTTATTACATACCATTAAAATCGGCAAAGAAAACCAAATAGCCGAAATAAAAGGACGCATACAATTATCTTGGGTAGCTTTCGGTAAGTTAAGCTTTATCTTGAAGAATAAGGATATACCCATGTATCTAAAATATAGAGTTTATGACAAATGTATCTTGCCCATATACTACATATTAACTGGAGACCATGGTCTTTACAAAGAAAACCTTAGAGCAGCTCAGTACAACCCAAAGACCGATGGAGAGGGTTATGCTAGGGATTATTTTGGGAGACAGGATTGGTTCGAGTCTCAAGTAGTAATGGGTCGGATATGATGCCCGAGATAATCCCGGAAAATGAACACAGAGGTTAACAAACTGGAGACCAAGAGGGAACAGGCGAGGACTAAGCAGACCACAGAAGAGGTGGTCAGATAATATCAAACACATCGCGGGCAAGCAGTGAATGAGAATTGCCAATAGGAGAAATCAATGGAAGCAAATGGAAGAAAATATCAGCTAAAATAGGTGACAATGGAGAAGCCATCGCTAAACCTGTTGGTTGTTTATATATTTTTTGATTAAATTTAAAGAAGTTCTGATCAAAACAAAATTTAAGCGTAAGCAAGATGGCATCCCTCTTTTTTACTAATATGTTTGCAATCGCTTAAAATGTTTTATATTAAAGATAATTTTTCTATTTCGTCTACTGTACCTACTTTAAGAAAATATCGACATTATAAATTCAACATTTCTTGTAAGATTATATAACATCCACGCTTATTGTTTTTCTTCAATTCGTGAAGTAATAGTTTTCAATAAAATATTTAAAAGTTTAATTAAATTTTTGGCAGTTATCGATAATGTTTACATAAAAAATATCGCAGGTCAAACGTCTTGTCCTATCCAAACAATTCCCGATAATTAACGGCCCAAAGATAAACCTTATTATATAAAGTTATCTGCTGACGATTCGACAATTTTATTTGAATATTTCAAATAATTTTACGAAAATGTTGCCCCAATCGGCAATTTTAGTTTTGCTCGTTTCCGCTTTCACCTTCGCCGATGTAGCACCTAAAAGAGGTAAGTTGAATAGATCGGTGATACTTTAATTAAAAATACTACGAAAAAGTATTTTTACTATAGAAAATAGCCTTAAGATCGATTTTAGTGAAATAAGTTGTAACAAAATATTTTTCTGTTTGTAGCTTTGAGTCCAGGTCAAGTACTTCCTCTTGTAAACCATGGAAAATACAACTATTTTATTGGTACCACCTTTAAAGTAAGTAGTTGTACAAAATACTTTATTTAGTGATAATTATTATCTAGTTTTTGATCCCATAAAAGCATGGTACACTGTGTCGCAAGATGAATTACTACCTTCAATGTCGCAATATCATGTGGAACATAAAATAGTGACCTTGTTATTTTTGTATCATGACCAAATTATCAAAGGTATATCAGATCTTGTCGCTAATGTCATACTTAAAATAAGAAGAACATTAATTAAAATTATCCAGGTATATGCCGCCACGACAGCTTATGATGACAAAGATATTGAACTATTTTATGAAGATATATCAAAGGCTATGGAAGAATATCAAAATTGTCTTACACTAGTAATTGGAGATTTCAATGTCATACTGGGTAGAAAACAAAACAACGAAGAAACTAAAATAGTAGTTATGGTCAGAGAAATGATAGAGGTGCTACTTTGATGTACTACCTAGAAGAAAAGCATCTATACGCAATAAACTCCTTTTACAAAAAGAAAACCCAACGAAAACGGACATGGATCAGACCTAATGGATACACAAAAAATGGGATCGACTACATACTGTCCTCGGAATGATATATCATTAATGATGTAATAGTTCTTATCAGATTCAGAACAGGTAACGATCACAGGATAGTCAGAGCAAAAATAAGTATTGACGGTAACTATGAAATGAAAAGAAAAATAACTAGAAACTGTAATCTACTAGATAGAAACAAACTAGGGCAATATAAAGAGATATACAAAGACCTATGAAAAGAACAACTTACGCAAAAAATAGACAGTGATGATCAAGATATAGACGAAATAGACAACATACTTACAGCAACAATGATTACATCAGGAAAAAAATAGCAAAAAAGAATTAAAAAAAACAACTATATTATATCGACAGAAACAAAGAAGGTTATGGATAAAAGAAGGAAGCGGAACAAAGAAGGCAAAATAAATCTATACAATATGTAGAAATCAATAAAACCACAAGCCGAATGATAAAAAGAAAATGAGAGAAAAGAACGAGAAATAAAAATAGAAGAAGTAATACAAAACAACAAAAATATGAAATTTTTAAAACCGAAATTAGGTAAGTTTGAAATAAACCAAATAAAAGATGTAAACGAAGTGAAAACAATCATTAAAGATGACATCATAAATAGAATCTACCTCAGATGGATTTGAAGAAGAAGAAATTAAAAAGCTAAGGCTAAAATAAAAAATATCAACTCAGAGCTACAGCCAAAAGAGGCAAATCAGAAATAAAGTAGGCATTGAAAGAAATAAAAAACAACAAATCGCCTGGAAAAGATGGAATAACTGCAGAGATGTGAAATATATGGTGAGAAGATAGAAAAGAAAACGAATCCCAAACAATCGGAAGGAATCCGCAACCATTATTCTACACAAGAAAGGGGATAAAGCAGATATAAAAAACTACCGTCCTATAACACTTATCAATGTAATGAATAAGCTTCTAAGAAAAATTTTAACCAATAGATTGACGACAAAATTCGACGGATACCCGTTGAAAGAATAAGCTGGTTTTAAAAAGGGATTCAGCACAAGTGATCATTCACTAAGTATAAAAATACTTACAGAACCAGAACCAAATGAATACCACATTCCTCTATATATATAGCGTTGATAAATTTCGAAAAGGCTTTCGACAGTGTCGAACATTGGGCAGTAAAAAGTACTTTAATCAACAGCAGAATTGACCGCAGATATACGCCATAGGGCGATGGAGAGACAAATGTAGGGTGTATCACTTAGAGATAAAAAACGTAACCAGTGGATCATAACCAGAACAAAGACAGTAGATGCGATAGAACAAGCAGCAAAACTGAAATGGAAATGGGGTGGACACAATGAACGTCTCCAAGACGGACGATGGAACAATGCCATCGGAAAGTGGCGTCCATACAATGCAAAGAGATCAAGAGGCAGACCACAGATGAGGTGGAAAGATGACATCAGGAAACAAGGAGGTCCCACATGGCAGAGAACAGCTCAAGATAGGGAAAGATGGAGAGAACTGGGGGAGACCTATATCCAACAATGGAAGGATAGAGAATAGGTTCAAAAAAAAAATACGGAACTAATAGCTAATGTAAATAAGGAAGCCAAAACAACAATTCAATTAAAATATATGAAGGAACAAAATAAATACAAATAAATAAAGGCGTGAGACAGGGTGACACAATATCACCTAAACTTTTCAATCAAGCTCTGAAAAATATTTTTAATAGATTAGCGAGTTTCCTACAGCCTCTGCCACCCCTCGCATTTCGATCGCCATCGTTCTCTGTCCATCCATTCGTCTTCTTTGATAGCTCTATCTCTCATTAGGTGTCGTACATTTTCCTTCCAGGCAACTGAAGGCCTTCGCCTTCCTCTTCTTTGTTGTGGTATGCAATTTAAAGCTTTCCTTGGCCATCTATCTTCATTCATTCGCTTGACGTGACCATACCAATCCGAGATATTTATATTCATTGCATGTTTTTGTGTTTTTAATTTCTAACTCTGAATCTTCTTCATCATCTCCTATTTTAAAATACTCTGTCTTTGACATATTTATATTGAGGCCCCATTTTTCATATTCTTTCTTTAGTTTTCTAAACATGTAGTCCATGTCCTCATCATTCTCTACGACTACCTGATCATCTGCGAAAAATAAAGTTGTTAAATATTTACCGCCGCCTCTCTCTATTTTAATTCCGGATACTTGTTTCTCAACGTCATGAAACTAGCGTCAAGAGAATGCGTCACGAATACCGTCACGAAATAGTGGTCATTTTGATCAATTTGTTTCTAGTCATCACATAAATATATATTCTATGCATATTTAAAGAAAAAACTGCATAAAAGATAACTAAGAAAACATAATTATCTTTGTCAAAAAATATTTAAAATAATCTTTTTGGTAATTACAGGCAACTCAATTGCAAGCTCTCAGGTTTTGTAGAAATATCAACATGACTTTGCTGGACATCGAATCAGAAGCAGAAAACGAAGCCATATACAAATTTATAGAGAAAAGTAAGTACATATAAATTTAGACTAGAATAGGATATATGAATTTCGAATAGATAAAATGGCATATATATATTTTAAATTAACCGTCACTAAATAGCAATTGTAGCAATCTAAATTTGGGATTTCTCATTACGTGTCTAAAGTACTCCAGCTTTATCTTCTAGATCTTAAATTTAATAAGCCTTATCCCATCCATCCCTGGGTAGTTGTACAGAAAGTGCTCAGACCATTCCTATTTATATCTAGTAGATCTTTGGAACTCTTCTTCAAAAGTCTATGTGTCAAACCTATTGGATATTTAAGATTTTGTGATAAAGCCATTTGTTTGTACCAGTGGTAACGTTTCATCCGTTTCAATTAGTCGGTTATAGTTCTTTTAGCTGTGCTCCTTGATAGTATTCTAACGACAGATTCTGGGCTTGTGAATATTTGTGTTGTCCGTACTCTAGCAAGGTTTTCTTTTTCATTTCCTTCAATACCAGTATATTCAGGCACTTACACACTAAGAACTACATTTTGAATACTTGCTCTTCCGTAAGTGATATTAGATTCTCTGTCTTTATATATTAATTTCATTTTTCAATTTGTTTCAAGTACATTGGTCGAAATACATAGCGTTGTAATTTTATTGGATGTACTATGACATATCCACTTTTATTGCTTTTAAAAAGAGTGGCAACATCACTTTTAATCTTCCTCTTCTTCTTACTTCTTGTATATAGGCTTTAAAGCCTCAATAGCTTCAATAATAGCCTCATAAAATGTTTAAATTGTCGCACCATTTTTTCTTGGTCTTCCAATACTTCTTCGTCCATTGGGTGGACTCATCTAGTGCTATTCGTACTATAATATCCTCGTTTTAGATGTTTCAGCTCTTGTCTTTGCCGTGTATGTTAATATGGGTCTAATTGCTGCTTTACAGATTCTTGTTTTTGTGTCTTAGCTTAGGTTTGTGTTAGAAGTCCGTTGGTTATTTCGTCTGCTCCTAGTAATTTTCTATTTTTAAGTGAATTCATGGCTATTTCTACTTCTTTAAAACCGATTTTCATTTCGTGTCTTAATTCAATTTTAATTGAACAATTTATTTCTTATAGACGAAGGTGACAACTACTACTGGTCTTCGGGAAGCAGAATCATCGACGGGAAATCCTGGTTGTGGTTAAGTACCGGCAAAGAAATCGAGTACACTAACTGGGACAATGGCCAGCCCAACACCAATAACGAATACTGCTTGACTCTGAAGATCGATAACCGTAATAAGGTATTCTGGCATGACGATGTTTGTGGTGCTGAAAAATATTTTATATGCAAAGCAGCTGCAGACGAAAATGAAAACAGACAATCCAAAGGTATTTAAAATACATTTTTTATAATAATTTTTTTAAAATATTTTAATACATTTAACTTTATTATGACTAACAATGGGGTTGTGCAATTTTTATTCTTATAGTTCAGAGATAAAAAATTGGAAAAAGTATAATAGCGATGTATTAATCAACATAATATATATATATATATCAGTATCTTTGGTTATAGTTTGGTTTTTTCAATCTTTGTGTTAAGTTTATAGTTGATTGAAAAGTGCATTCTATCAACAAATTACCACATGCTAGTAAATTTGTTAACATTTAAATCATGTTCATGATTTAAATGTATTGCTTGTGCGAGTCCATTTCAAATAGCTAAAAGAAATAATAAATAAGACTTACTCACATTCAGTTTAATTTAACAGTTTCGCTTTCTACAAATTGCAAAGCATCTTCAGATCTGTCGATAAAATTCGATACCGGCATCATTTAATTAACTTTGTATTAACACTTTTATTATTTTTAGTGTGGTCGAACATTTTTGAAGGTACCAAAGGATTGATTTCTGACGAGTTTGTCTATGGAAACAAATACTACTATTTTGCAAGACAATTCAAGGTAATAATATTAAAGGACCTCTAAATTTATTTAATGTAAAATTAAATTTGTAGGGTAGTTTCGCCCAAGGTTTCCAGTTCTGTGACACCATTGGTATGTTACCCGTGTCTATATCCTCACAAGACGAAAATGACAGAATCTACAAGCATCTTAGAGATACAAGTAGGTACATCCAATACTTTCTTTGTATTTTCTTAGTTTTAATTAAGATTTTCTACTAGTTAAGTTACTACATTTGATTGATTTTCAGTTACATTTTAAAATAGTGTTTGTAAAACTTAAAATACTTTAACTAAATTTTTAATTGTGCACCAACGCTTTACCTATTATCTTATTTTCAGATGCTGAGAACAACTGGTGGTCCTCAGGTGCACGATCAACTGACACTGTCCACTGGTTTTGGTTATCCAACGGACAACTTGTTAATTATACAAACTGGGCAATTTCAGAACCTAACAACAGACTTAGTGAGCAATGCTTAGCTTTGGTTTTAAATAAGGACAAAGGACTTTACTTCTTTGATGTTGGATGCCATGTAGAACATCCAGTTATATGTGAAAGACCTGTCAAACAAAGTAAATTGAGTAAAAGGGAAATACGTAAGTATTTTTTTAATGAGTATTTTATAACATTACTCTAAGAAAGTATAAGTATATGTAAATATATTCTGATTGACAATTTTCAAGCTTATAATATTATTATAAAAGGAAGAATTAATGGGAACAACCCCGTAATTGGCTGTATACCATCGTTTAAAAAAAACACAGAAGTTAAAACACTTCACAAATGTGTATTTAGGTATAAAACAAACAAGTTAAAACTTTTTAAAAAAGTGTCGTCACATTTAAAGTTCTGGCAGAACGTTTTCGATCACTACGGATCATCTTCAGTGCCTAGTATTTGTTGCTAACTATATAAATATGGTGTCTATAAGACTTCCATGATTGAGTTGGTAAAGTGTCACATTTTACATTAGATAATGTTGATACTGTAGGTCGATGACAATGGATGTATTTAAAATTAAAAATTTTACTTTAGGGACTACATGTCTCCTAAGCTCGAGTACTTGCACGTTGTCAGTTGAAGCGACGACACAGACCAAATGGCTGATGTCACAGGAGATAACTTAAAAAAAGCTAAACTTGACAGGATTTCAGTATGTTCCGAAATTAATGTAATTTTTAATTTGTGAAATTATAAAATTTACACCGACAACTATTCCCTTAATTTTAATCAACGTTCCAGTTATTGCTTTTAAATTTCATCTAGTTATCTCCTCTTTTTCTCTTTTCCCAACCACCCTACTAGCATCTAACATTTTACAACTTCCTTATTAATCACCCACTAACTTTACCATACTCAACAATTTTCCACCCCCTCACTTTCAATTTTCTATTCATTATACTCCATGATAGTCACATACCAATTGATTTCTCACCCACTCATTTCCTTCTTTCTATCCATCATATGACCTGCTTTGATATCATCTTATCCCATGATAATTTCTTTCTTTTTGTCATCTTTTTGAATCTCTTTTGTGACTCTTCTTCTGACTTTTCACACCTTCTCTCCTCATGTCTCTCACTTCTTGGGGTCTCCTTACTTTTTGGTTACCTTTTCAATACTATTCATCATTATTAACTTCAAATATTAACTTTACACTCAAACTCCACAACCACATTCTTACTCCACCAGCCATCAACACACATCCCTCTGACACTTTCAGTCTGTGGATCCCACTACCACTCATAATTCATATTTCACTCAATCAACTCAGATATGCAGTCAATTTAATCGTCTTACAGCCAACCCTACATTAATCTCTATATTTCAATTTTCTCTAATACATATTCACACACATCTAACAGGTTACATTTTCTCTCCTACATTAAATTTCATTCACTTATTCTCAGCTTCATATATATATTTGTATATATGTATGTATATATATGTGTATATATATTCATTTTACTAATCAAAATAAAAAATAATTTTTTAAAATATCTGATAATTATACAGGTCTTTTACCATTGCTAGACAACCACCTTTACACAATATATAAATAACAATTCTCACTTCCATATCATTGGATTTTAACTTAATTTTTTCAGTTATAATAATTTTATACACTTTATATACTTACATTTGTACAGTACCACATCAATACCCTTCTTCTTCTTCTAATACATTCATCATTTTATCATCACTTACCTATGATGTCATAAATTTCAACCTTTTATACTAATCCCATTAAATTGTTAGTTCATTTTCAATAATATAGATTCACTGATCTAGGCAATAAATTTTATCATATAAGCAAATCTAATTGTTAACGTCAGGTTCATTAATAAGTTAAATTTCATTACTACAAGTAAACAAATTTCACAAATTAAAAATTACAATAATTTCGAAACATACTGAAATCCTGTCAAGTTTAGCTGTCTTTAAGTTATCTCCTGTGACATCAGCCATTTGGTCTGTGTCGTCGCTTCAACTGACAACGTGCAAGTACTCGAGCTTAGGAGACATGTAGTCCCTAAAGTAAAATTTTTAATTTTAAATACATCCATTGTCATCGACCTACAGTATCAACATTATCTAATGTAAAAGGTGACACTTTACCAACTCAATCATGGAAGTCTTATAGACACCATATTTATATAGTTAGCAACAAATACTAGGCACTGAAGATGATCCGTATGATCGAGAACGTTCTGCCAGAACTTTAAATGTGACGACACTTTTTTAAAAAGTTTTAACTTGTTTGTTTTATACCTAAATACACATTTGTGAAGTGTTTTAACTTCTGTGTTTTTTTAAAAGGAAGAATATTTAAGACTAAAGTTCCCAAAAATATTAATTGAACTTTGCTGCGTTTTGTTTTACATTTTAATATTGTTTTATAAACAAACAGGAAAACATTAAAAGAACAGCTTATAAACGACAAACGAGACAAAATAGCTAAGGAATATTTTTTGAAGAGACTGGACCAAAAATAACAGAAAGTGAAGTAAAACACATATTTAAAGAAATGAAGACTGGAAAAGCAGTAAGACCAGACGAAATACCGACAGAAATATTGCAGCTTATCGCCGACTGCTATATACATGTTATTGTCGAATTAAATATCATATACAGAGCTAATACAGAGATGTTTAGATGCAAACCAGGACATCTATGTCTACTTAATAGATTATAACAAGGCATTCGATACATTGAAATATAATCCGGTAATAAAACTACTAAGAATAAAGAACATAGACACACGGGATATAATAATAATAAATAATCTGTATTATGAACAAAAAGCTGTTATAAGAATAAATAATTTAAAAACTAATAAAATAAAATTTAAAAAAGGTGTTAGACAGAGCTGTGTCTTGTCCCCTACACTATTTAATGCATTCTCACAGAAAATATTTAAAAAAAGTATTGTAAGATGAAGTAGCAGGCATAAAAATAAATGACCTACCCATAGGTGAAATTAGATATGCTGGCGACACAATCCTGAAAATACATATTACAGATCTACAAAGAATTTTAAATAAGGGTGTTGCAGCTAGTGAAGAATTTGGTCTGTCAATAAACATAAAGAAAACAAAATTTATTGCTATATCAAAGAAAAATATTAGATATATCAATCTGCACGTAAATAATAAGACGATGGAACGAGTTCAGACTAATAATTAGTTAGAGCAAACATTATTGAAACAAACGATTATACAAAAGAAATTAGAGCTAGAATAGAAAAGGCTAGAAGTGCATTCAATAATATAAAAAAAATATTATGTTGTAGATACCTCAGCCTATATCTTAGAAAAACGAGTACTAAAGTGTTACAGATATAAATTCCTAAAACTAATATTGCAGGTAAACATTCAAGGAAAGCGCATCATTGGTAGAAGAGGAATGTCCTGGCTGAGAAACCTCAGAGAGTAGTTTAGATGTAGCTCAACTAAACTCTTTCGGGCTGTAGTGTCAAAATTTAGAATAGCAGTGATGATTGCCAACTTTTATCGCGGAGATGGCACGTAAAGATGAAGAAGAATAAGAACTTAAAGATAAGTTAACATAGTACCAGCTTTCACAGCAAACAGTAACTTTAACAAATATATTAAGAAAAAGAGCCAAAAAAAGCACTTATACAGTGAAGTAGGCTAACTTACAATATATGGTGACTGCCCAAAATCTTACATTGGTCAAACTGGTAGAACTTTCTATGTATGCACTTCACCTTCTAGATGATATTTTTATTAAGCGATATCAAATATTCTTTATTCAAAACAAAAGCATTACGATGTATCTTTATTTAAATCTACGGAAATTAATATCCTTAACTTATCCAGTTAAACACAGGTAAAGGGTAGAAGCATATTAGAAATACATTCCTTAAAAAATAGCGGTCGTGAAAGTAAATTGTAATAAATTTTGTGGAACTGTAAAAAACAAACATTTTCAACATTTTATTGTTATAGTGTATTTTTATGTATGAGAGAGTAATAAAACAATAAATTATGTATGCTAATCCCTAAACTGTTGATACGGGTGACTCAATGAAAAACAGATATTTGTCAACAAGTTTACAGAAGTATATAGGAAAACAATTTTAAATTGAGTATGACCACCAGGTATAAAGGTTGGAGCAGAATAGAATACAATAGTTGTGAGGGTTATTAATCCCTAAATAAGGTTGCCAGTGTCGGAGTGATGGAGGTTAACAGGTACTAATGAATTTGCAAGAAATGTAAGATGTTTATTTTATTGGTTATATATAACCAATAAAAGTTTAATAAGTACCTACCTATTTGCAAAATAAAGTTTAATTCTTTAGATAAAATAAAACGTTTTATTTTATCTGAAATGAGTGCATTTCACGAAGTAAGGGTTTCAACAATCAAACATTTAATTCTTTAATTCCAGGAATCTACGACAGTAATTGACTAGATAATTACCTTCTAAACTTATTCCACAGAAAATGTAATAGTGGGTTTTTCCATTTTGTAGGAAGGTCCAAGTGGCGTATTCAAAATTCTTAACAGTTCACTAAAAGTAGGTACTTCAGTTGCAAGGTGCAATTTATTGTGTATACTAGTGTTATGGAAAATTTGGAAGTGCCGTGTAAACGCCGAAAAATTGGTCCTTTAACAGTTAATAAAGAAACATTAATATTTAATTGTTTTAAACCATTTACAGACAAACGTTTATGATGAGACCGTTGATTCGGTCTCAATCGGTCTCATCAAACACGTGAAAGTGTTGATGAGACCGTTGAGTTAGTTAGCAGTACACTTGGTGTTGGGAAATCTACGATTTACAGAGTTATTAAAGAAGAGAAATGTGGTAGTTTTCAAATGCCACGTAATGCTCCAGGGAAACCAAAATTTCAAATAGAATATTATTTTAAAGAAGTACTTCGACGGAAAGTGCATGAATTCTTCTTTAGACAAGAATTTCCAACATTGGATAAAGTTCTTGTCTCAGTTCGAGATGATAAGGATTACCCAGAAATGAGTCGAAGTACGTTATGGAAACTTTTAAAAGAAATAGGCTTCCGCTGGAAAAAGAATCCAGAAAGTCTATTTTATTAGAAAGAAGCGATATTGTCATATGGAGAAGACATTTTCTAAGAACCATAAAGGAAATGAGAAACCAAAAAAGAAAAATATTTTATCTTGATGAAACATGGATCAACGAGGGTCATACACCAAATAAATTTTGGCAGGATGAAACTGTTACAAGTCAAAGGCACGCTTTTGTAAATAAACTTATCTACTGGTTTAAATCCACCACCAGGAAAGGGACGCAGGCTGATAATAGTACACATTGGCAGTTCAAACGGTTTTGTTGAAGGTGGTTTATTAACTTTTGAATCAACTCGTACCGGTGACTACCATGAAGACATGAACGCTGATGTCTTTCAAGAATGGTTCGAACAAATGATAGATCTTCTTCCTAAGAACTGTGTAATAGTAATGGATAATGCAAGTTATCACTTCAGACTTATAGAAGGACTGCCCACAACCAAGTGGTTAAAAAAAGACTTGCAGAATTGGCTGAGTTCAAAAAATATTACGTACCATCCCGGATCTATAAGAAAGGAACTTTATTCGTTGTGTGCCCTTCATAAAGAAAAATTTAAAAATACGAAATTGATGTAATTGCCAAAAATCGTGGAATGACAGTACTTAGATCCCCACCATATCATTGTGAGATAAACCCGATTGAACTGGTATGGGCACAGATAAAGAGTGAAGTTTCAAGAAAAAATACCACTTTTAAAATTCATGATGTTAAACAGTTGTTTTTGGCGGCCGTAAATAATGTAAAACCTGAAAACTGGGAAAAGGCAGTAAATCACACTATTAAAGAAGAGGAAAAAATGTGGAAGCTGGACAATATTACTGATAAAATGATCGAGCCAGTTATTATAAATCTTGGTTCTGAAAGTTCATCCTCTGAATCTGATTTGGATTTATAACAAGTAGCTGTAAGTTTTATATTAATATTTTTATTCATCTATTTAACATACCTTAGACGGTTTTAAAAACTCTTTTTCTCTTTTGTAATTTTTAAAAATTAAAAAAAATGTGAATTTTTTAAAACCCTTTTTAATGTAGGCCAGTCAGTTCTGATATAGTGTGTGATAAAAGAGGTCACTTTTGTTTACATACACATAACACTTTATAACACTGAAATAATTCATTTATTTTTTTTTAATTATTCAAAGTAATTTTTCAATTAATCTTGAGCACGCCCATGGAGTGGTCGGAGGTACCAGTTAAAATTATGCTAATTACTCTCTCGTTCATAAAAATAAACTATAGATAAAATGAGATTTCATCATGTAAGTAACGGTCTAATCCATTAATTAATCAGATAAAAAATGTAGCAAATGAAAAAGCGCTGTTATAACAAATTCACTGAGATGTAAGTTATTTCTAAAAAGGAATTCTACAAATTAAACTATGTGTTGTCCTTATGTTTGTATATTAACTTTGATCACTTTGCTGTTTTATTTTTAGAAAAGCCTTGGTTAAAACGTGCCCAAGCTGTCAAGAAGCAAAAATCTCTTGGAAAATATTATATAGAACAAGATTTCGAGGTATGTACTTGTCTGTTGACATGTTTTGTTATTTACGTAGCACAAAAAATAGTCCACAATTTTTTAAATAGTTTAATTTACATGATCTTTCGATTCCTTTTCATCATTATATTCACCACAAGTCGAAACTTCTTCAAAAAGTGCTAAGAATCTTTTTTTTTTTCATAAGTCACAATATCTGAAAATAAAAAGTTTTATTTTAAAACAATTGTTTACAAGTCGCAAAATTCCATTGCTTCTCTAAACGCAAAGAGTCCACTACAATAGTTTTGCATATTACAAACTTACAGTTTGAGCATGAACACTCCAATGGTACACAGTCGATAAATTTAACTATCAAAAGAAGGTACAGAGCCGGAGAAACTTCAAAGCTTCCGATTGGCTTTAGAATTGAGCGTCATTGACTCCCACTGGTCTCTTATACAGGCTTCCCACGGTCGGCGATATTACGGACGTAAGCGAACCAGCACGCACCACGCACCGTGGGAAGGGTCTCGTCCGTGGTAGCGCAGGCACGTCTGTGCTGGTCCGTCCTATCCATCTAGAGTCGGTAACATCAAAGGTGCGGTATATGCTCGTGCGACGCGATCCTAGCGCGTCTGTGTTTTAACAGACGACAAATGCAAGTCAGAAGTTTTTTATTCGCTCTTACGAGTAGTTGTCTGTAGTGTTGTCAAAGTTGTTTTGCAGTTTTTTGCTAAAAAATGGAATGGACAAACGAAGTTATTTTGGATTTTTTAAATTTGTAAATAAATCGTAAGAAATCGTGAGATTTCGCTACAGTTGAATTTTGAAAGAAATGGGAGTTTTTAAATGATATATAATTATACAAAACTATTTTAAATACTTTGTATTGTTATATATTAATTAATGTATAAGTACATACTTAAAAATTAGTGTACTAGAAAAGGGTCTACTTTAGGGGAACCACCAGTATAAGATATAACTTTAGGAAATTACCTACCTACCTATATCTATATACTGCAAGCTATGGATTTATCGATTCAATATTAGGCAATGATTATAAACATTCTTTATAGTTTAAACTTCAATGAAAATTATAAACCTATTTTACCCAAGAATATTAAGTATAATAGGTATATATTAGGTAAACATAAACATTTTGTTTTCTGAAGATTTAACATTTTATCGGTACTTGTAGGATTTCAAAGTTATTGAAGATGGAATATAAAGTTATTGTTATATGCAATTGCTGATTTGTTTCATATCTCGAACACACACTTAAATCATTTTGGTCTGTTGATCCTTTAATACAAAATTCCGGCTATTCTTGATATTTATTGATAAAATATACATAAACTTCAGTTGTTTATGGACCGATATTTACACTTTCAAAGCAATAAAGAACCTTTTAAGCTTTGTTTATATTATTTTGTGTATACTAATTGGAGTAGTGCAAGCATTTTTGTATAAAAATATAGTTGATATATGAATATTTCAAGGTGACAATCTAAGAGCACTTTAAAAATGCTGATTTTCTCGTATAAATTTTATTAGGTACCCATTATTTATCTTTATATTTAGTAACAGCCTAAAAAATTTAGAAATCGTAAGATATAAGACGTCAATCGTGAGATCGTGAGATTTGTCTTCAATTCGTGAGATCTAACGATAAATCGTGAGGAGTGGCATCACTGCGTTAAATCAAATACTACTGTCACGGACCTACACAGACTGTCACGGACCGTAGAAGAGCTGTGTCTGCGGTGCGTTGCCGTCCGTGCTGATCGGCTGTCCGCGAAGATCTGTAGAATCGCCGACCGTGGGAAGCCACTGTTAGGGAAGCTGAGTCTACTAAAAGGTTCCTGGTGAAATAGTTTGGCAACTAAAAACCTGAAATTAAAAATCACAATGTTTATTTCAGGTTAAAAGTTGTAACAGGGTTGGTGAAATAGGAATTTGCCAAGGTAGCTGTAAACAACTGGAAGAAACTGTGCAAACATACTATCAAGGTCAAACATAAGTACTTGAAAAAAGAACGTCATCGAAACGTTCTTACTGAAGAGTTATGGAATGATTTAAATGATTCCAGACACGATGGCACTGAATCTGATCATGGAAGTAAATAACATAATGCCATTTTAATTTAAATATTCTAAGCAATAACGGCATTTGACCTATTATAAAGTATTTCTAGAATGCAATTGATTCGTTAGGTCAAGCACAAAATCAGCTTGTTCATCTACAACATAATTTTTTAGTAATAAATATAGATTGTTTAATATTGAAAATAAAGTTATTAAATTTTATTTTTAAATACACCGTTAGTTACATATATTCATACTTTCAGGCGACTCACGATGACGCTGTTGAATATTGTAAGTTCTTAAATATGCAACTTTCTGAGATTAACTCTCTACAGAAAATAGATAGAATTACCAGAGAACTAATACTTGTCGGTAAGTACTTATTATTATTAATTATTGTTTTATTATAAATATTGTCCAATTTTTTACATGCGAAAAACCATGTCATATTTTTGGCTATAGTAATTAATATCCTCTCACCTCAATGTTAAAATCATTACCGTACTCCAACCCTTTCTACCCCCATATTACCCACTCCTTTAGAAATACAGCTTTAAAATATTATTCGAAACAGACTCTCTTTTGATTGTTGACTGCCACCAGCAACGGACCGGACGTCCTCTCTCTGGACTGTTGACTGCAACTGGCAACAGGCGTATCCTCTTGACTGTTGAATTCGCCAGCAACAGACGTCCTCTCTCTCTCTCTACTGTTGACTGCCGCTAGTAACAGACATTCTCTCTCTTTGATAGTTATTCGAAAAATACCGCGAATACTCTTTTAAATCGTAGAGAAAACACACGCAAATGTGCTCTATCTCTTGATCTTAGTGATAGTACCGGGAGACATGTGTTAGAAACCGAAAAAAAAAAGACAGGTCCCCTCGTACGAATTACAACAATGGGTGAAAGCTTATAAAAACCCGCAAGCATGAATTTACCTCTGTAGCATAGATTTTTTCCTAAATATACAACCAAACTGCGTAGTCCAAAGGGTTAAAATCGCATGACCGAGGAGGCCAATGAATCGGAGCTTCTGCACCTCTACCAATCCATCGATTCGGAAAACGAGTATTCAACCAATTACGACACCTTCTATCAAAGTGTGGTGGAGCTCCATCGTGCATAAAAAATAAAGATCTTTGCTCGTTTAGCGTTAAATATTCTAATATCTCGAATAAGGAATTGTTAAGAAAATCAAGATACATCATCATTTAAATTTCCAGGTATAATATGATAACCTATTAATTTGTTACCTAAAGTTGCTGCCCAAACATTAACTTTAAATGAGTGTTGGTAATGTGATACCCTTTTGACTTGTGGATTCTCATCACACCAGTAGTGTGCATTAAGGGAGTTAAACATACCTTGTCGCGTAAAGGTGGCCTCGTCCGTAAAAAGAATGCATTTTAAAAAAATTTGGATTGTAGGCTGTCCTTTGTTGCAATGTTTCACAAAAATCCACTCTAACCGGTAGATCATCTGGCAAAAGCTTTTGGACTTGTCTGTAATGATAAGGCTGTAATTGCTGTTCTTTCAGTATCCGCCAAGTACTTGAAGAAAAATTATTTGTTTGTCTTGCTATATTACTTATGCTAACTGTTGGATCTTCATCAAGTAAATTTAAAATATTATTTTCTTTATTAATTGTTCTTGTTATTCTTGGTCTACCAGAATTTATTTTATTTGGTTTCACATTCCCAGTTTCTTGACAACGTCGTTCAACGGCTCTTAATGTTTTTTTACTTGGTAAGTTTCTTCTAGGAAACTTTTCTGCATAACGTGTCACAGCTGCACTAGAACATCCTAAACATTCGCCCAATGTTAATAACATGTCAGTGTATTCAACATTTGAGTACATTTGGATTTGATTTTGCAAATAACAAGGTTTCAAAACTCTAATTATTGTTGATTTATCGTCATAACAATCAATAAATGTCAGATTTGAATGGCACACTTGGAGAAAATAGAGGTATACCTATTAGAACTTTATTATTATTACCAGCAACAATTATTGCTTCAGAATTTTGAAATCAAAATATTTCGAAAACAGTACACAGTATCGAGTTTTACCAAGAGTACCTTTTTCGTGTAAAATTGAATGATGTTTAAGTTTACGTGAAATTTTGATTAATAATAATTATGCTCTTAAAAAAGTTATATTGACTAATATTTAGTACGATCCGTGTAACTAGCGCCCTCTATGAGAATCAGATATAAAAGCAAATTCATGGGATGTATCAGCTTCCAAAACATATTCGTATAAAATTTCATTACAATGTTGCCAGTAGTTTCGACAAAATCGTAAAAAATGCGTAAAATTTTTTATCTTCAACGCCCTGTATCTTGAAAACGGATGGCGGGACAAACATTTTTTACTAAGCAAACCCCAAGTATTTTTCAGTTTTTTACCTACCCTAGAGACGAAGTTACCTTTTTTTGAAACACTCTGTATAATATGTAACCAAACCCCATTGTAAATAAAATTATAGATTTCATCAAGTCGTTCATCTCAGGCAAAGTTTCGCTTACATCGCGAAAATAAATAGTTTAGGTTCATTGCATGCTTGGGTCCTAAATACACCAACATATGCTAAATATGCAAAAGGAAGCGATTATACTAAAATTTTAATATAGTAGTTGTAGTTAAGTAGTGTTTGATCAGTGTATGTTCATAAATAGGCGATAAATGTTCTCTAAAGATGAGATTAATACATATGTCGAGCAGATAAAATAAAATTCAGTATTAAATAATTAGACATTCAAGTCTAATTATTCAGTACGATAGTACAAAAGTACAACAAAATTCAGTATTAATAAGATTAGACATACAAGTATTGGGCCTTTTAGAAGTTCGATGACCAAATTCTGGAAACTCCACCAAGAATATTAATACTATTATCATTTGATGAAAAACCCTTTCCGCGCACGAATTCTTTAGGTATTTAAACAGATGGAAGTCGATACAAATCGAAACAAATCGAAATTTAATTCATGTGTTGTAGCCTCTACCAAAATGCTTATACGGCACGGTGCATTGTCCTGATAAAAAATGATGAAGGACAAAATTTGTGAAAAAAGACCTGGTTTATAGAAGAAA